GCTTCGCCACGAGGCTCCGTTGGGCAAAAGTCATCACCAGTCATTGTTTTTCAGTAATAAGTGCTATACAGAAAAGTCGCTTCGGAAGCGTGAACGTTTCAACTTTGCGAAAGGCGACTATGTTAAACTTCGTGAATCAGTGAGTGCAGCGAACATTTCGGACTGTATTATGAACATGAATGTGGCGGAGTCGTGGTCATTCATCAAGAACATGGCTGTCTGCAGTTGATGCGTGCGTACCTAAGATAAAGCTAGGTGGAGTCAGAAAAACATAGTGGATGAACAATACGGTTAAAGCTAAGCTAAAGGCAAAGAAGGAAGCCTACAAGCGTTATTTACGAACTCGTAGCGATGCTGAGTATAACCTGTATGCAGGAGCTCGAAATCAAGCTAAAAACGCTTGTCGCACCGCTGTCAACAATTTTGAAAAAGACGTTGCCAAAAACACGAAAAGGAACCCGAAAGCCTTCTTATTGTATTCTAGTTCGAAGTGTAAGACAAGGGACGGTATTGCTGATTTGAATGTAAATCAACGGAAGATATCTTCTGACGAGGTATCAGACTGGGTAACTGTGCGCAGTGGCGTATACCGCAAGGAAGCGTTCTTGGGCCTGTTTTGTTAGTCGCTTCTATAAACGATCTACCAGAAGTAGTGTCAAGCGTGTGCTCCATGTATGCCGATGACACAAAAGTGTATAATACAGTTAAGGATGCGTCAAATAAAATGTAACTGCAAAATGATCTTGATAGTTTAGTTGACTGGGCTGATGCATGGCAGCTGCGTGTCAATGCTGAAAAGTGTAAAGTACTTCACGTCGGCAAGAACAATGAACAGCAAGCTTACAGCATGAGAAGACACGGTTGCAACGAGAGGGTTATGATTGAGAATTCTAGCGTAGAAAAAGATCTTGGAGTTTGGGTCGACAAGGAGCTAAAATTTTCTAGGTATAATCCAATAAACTGCTTGGGCTGATCAGACGCTCCTACGAGTACCTAGATATGGAAATGATGAAGCTGTTGTTCACCTCTGTCGTGCACCCGAACCTAGAGTTTGGAAACGTTGTGTGGTCACCAAGACTTGAAAAGGACAGAAATTTAGTTGAGAGTGTTCAAAGACGTGCAACAAGGTTAATTCCAGGCTTAAAGGGCAAGTCTTATGAAGAAAGATTGAAGATTATGAAGCTTCCCAGTCTCCGTCATCGTCGCCTTCGTGGTGACCTCATTGAAGTATACAAGTATGCTCATGGGTTGTCCAAAGTCCCAGAAGGATTACTAGAATTTGAAACAAGAACCAACACCAGGGGCCACAGCTATAAACTAAAAAAACTGCGGTGCAACTTATCCACGCGACAACATTTTTTCTCGCTTCGAGTCATCGACATGTGGAACAGCCTCCATGAAGATATTGTTGACACTCCGAGTATGAACGCGTTCCAGAACAGACTAGACAAGGCCATGCAGGAGCATATGTTTAGTCCTAAAATGCCTCGTATCCTATGGAACAACTGAAATCTAGAAGCGATTTTAAATCTACTGTCCGTTGAAAAGATTTGATCAAAAGACCAGTCTAGCCAAGAAAAGTACAAGAATCGGCCACAGGCCTATCCAGGCCTATTCTTCAATGCCGAAGATACTATCCTATAATAGAGTTCCATTCATGCAAAACCAAGCCCTGTAAGTCCTTTGTAGAAGTTGGCTTGTGTTTAACCTCTTGTTTTTACCCTCTGTTTGAGAATGGCTCATAAATTTGTGGTAGTGTTCAAATCTGGAGAATTTCCGGGTCATGCTGTCAACGAGTGCACTCGCCTGCTGGACAAAAGGGAACCAGTGGATGCATTGTACCTCGATTTTGCCATGGCATTTGACAGTGTTCCGCATGAGCGGCTGTTACGTAAAGTGAAGTCTTTGGTAATTGAGGGAAACGTACTCTAATGGATCAGACATTTTCTAGTAGGTAACGACAACGCGTGTCAGTATTGACGAGCCGTGTCAGACTGAGCATCAGTGCGCAGTGGCGTGCCACAAGGAAGCGTTCTTGGGCCTATTTTGTTCGTTGCTTTTACAAACGATCTGCCAGAAGCAGTGTCCAGCGTGTGCTCCATGTTTGCAGACGACACAAAAGTTTATAATTCAGTGAAGAATGCGTCAAATTGTGCGCAATTGCAAGATGATCTTGACGGCTTAGTTAACTGGGCTGATACGTGGCAGCTGCGGTTTAATGCTGACAAGTGTAAAGTACTTCACCTCGGGAAGAACAATGAACAGCAAGATTACAGTATGAGAAGACATGGTTGCAACGAGAGAGTAATGATTGAAAAGTCTAGTGTGGACAAAGATCTCGGAGTTTATGTTTCTCTTCAGGAGCGTACGGCGTGATTTCGAGCAGTTTCGGGTACACGCTACTATCCCCGTCTCCAACAAAGTAACTGTACTTCATGCCATGGGTTTCTAGACTCGCAGAAAATCCTTCCGCGAGAATGTCGGCTTCCATTGATGACGGGCTGTCATGCCAATTTAGACTGCAGGCATGGTCTTTCGGAATTTTTTTTACGCTTAGCATACGCACAGACTGCGCAAAAGCGATTGCGTACGCCCACGAATAGAATTTTAGCCGAGCGATAGCCAACTATTGCTGCAACTCCCGAGGGAGCTGAGTAATTAGGCTCTTACGATCGCTTAGACCAGGCACCATCTGCAGTAACTAATATCTTAGGGACCCAATTTGCATCTACATTATTTTCTCGAATGGCCAAATTTTTTTCTTCTTGAGCCGCAACTTGCATGCTTTCCAAAGATGTTTCTATCCATTTGTCACTGACACGTTGCTCATATTTATGATATGTGTTTTGAGTGACGAAAGGAACGCTGAGTGATCCCGAAAATTCTGAAGCTTGCGACCTTCCGATGCCTATAGCTAGAGCACCTGACACTGCTGAATAATTTGATGAATGCACTCCTTCCTCAGGACTTTCTTCTTCAGTTCGGACACACATTTTTAATTTGCACATGCTACACTTGAATTCAAAAGTTGCGTAAAGCCCTCGTCGGACCTCTCTTACAAAAATGAAATTGTAAAATGAATACATGTTTGTATTATGCAACGTAATTTTACACACATCAGTAAAAAGATTTTTGACATCGAAGAGCCTCCTACCACTTAATGGTTGCAACGCATTTTGGAACACTCGTAGAATATCACTGTTATAGCTAGGCACGCCACTGCTATTGGGTGGCTGAGCATTCTGCACGCTCTACTCTTCACTGCTGTTGGGTGGCTCAGCGTTCTGCTCGCTCGATTCCTCACTGCTATTAGGTGGTATAGCATTTTGCACGCTGTACTCTTCACTGCTATTACATGGCTCAGCGTTGCACGCTCAACTTTTCACTGTTATTAGGTGGCTCAGCATTTTACACGCTGGACTCTTCACTGCTGTGAGATGTCTCAACATTCTGCACGCTCGATTTCTCTGACTTTTCTATTACTAAATCACTCGTCTTAATCGTTTGTAAAATTCACTTTTGGAGTTGTATTGTTGACGACATTCTCGACTGGAGCAGATGCTTGTAGAACCTTCAGTAGATTTTGTTGTTGTTTTCTGCGGAGCAAACAACATCGATATAACATTGAAGCTATATATAAACATGGGCTGTACTTCATCGCAATAATTGGCATTCACCATAGACATTATTAAAGGTTACTACAGTATAGCAAATAAAGGAACTTTCAACTTCTATTTTAGAGACCTCTGACTGATGAGATTCAAATCTTGCTATATCCATGATAAGTAACGACTGTAATAAATCTTACCTCCATCTTTTCAACTGGAGACCTTTATTGATTCGTGCTGATGAAAGGCACAATTTTTCCGATTTCTTGTGAGAGAAGCGCATTTTGTCGCCAGCATTCTAGCACACGAACTAACAATGGAAGGCAGTAATTCAAACGTGCCAGGAGGGTAAGGGGGTAAGGAGAGTAAGGAGGCTGTCCCTCTACCCCCTGGGAAGAGGGTAGGCGATCGACTATGCCGCTTCACGTGAGCTGATTTATGACCGCTAAGGAAAGTTTCGCGACAACGTACGACACTTTGACATGCTCGGGGTCAGGTCCCAAAGAAAATGGGAATCTACGATTCAGGAGTGATGAAAAAGTATTTTGTTAGGTAATTTCTACAAAATAGAGGGTGATTCAAATATAACTTTAATACCGATCAATAGAGAATAAATATCACTACTTAATCACGTCTCAAAAACTTAGGTAAGTCGCATCTCTCGCAAGTATCGATGTGGAACATTTTACTCGCAAGAACATCGATGTGGAACATTTTACTCTATCATAACTGATGTTATAAAAAATTTACATATATTTTGTAACTGTCATAAAATTGTAAATAAATATCTGAATGAGCATGAAAAATTTCAGATTGATATTTCATTTACGAGCGGAGTTATAATGACTATACGTAGTGATAGATTCTCATAGGGATTAAACCAAGCCCGCCTGAGGGCTCGCGGCTCTCAAGCAGGGCCTTAAACGTTCCGTGCATGATGGTGCTCCATGGGGCCGGGATAAATAGTTAAAAGAGTGGCGATGATTGCGTACAGTGGATATTAACGAAGTAATTGTGCAGAATATTTCATGTAGAACTGCAGGTTTGCGTTTTTCGGTCCACCGCACATCTGGAGGATTCGTTCTATGCCTAGGCGTGTGGTTGGTCCTATCCGGTCTATTTCCAGGTAGTCACTCATTATTTTTTAGAAGTGATGATATTATCCTGATGTTTGCATTTGTTAAAAAATGAACACGGACCAAAAAATCAATTAGAGGACCCTTGACCCCCGTTCAATTTAGAGGAATTTGAGAAGAACAAGGGAATTTTGTGGATTCTCAGCTCTTCTCTTGTCAATCATCAGAAGGGTAAATTTGGAAATGAAATGCTGTCTCTGATCTTTCCTTCTATGATAGTTTGCCATTCCTGTCTAATAAATCTTGTACGTTCCAGAAACTAGAAAATTCATCAGATATACAGGTTATCTTTGGAGCTAAGCATGGGGTGCACGATGAAGTGTTTATGGGGAGGCCTGCTGGTGGCGGCGCTCCTGGTAACCGCTGAAAACCTGGTGGGTGTTATTTAATTTTTATGCAACCAAAAATATAAAAAATTAAAGTGGTGAAGACATACTTGCAAAGTAAGACATGCTTCTAAGCCAAAATTTAGGAAAATGTTTTCGTCTAAATTTAAGTCATTTATCGAAAATTTCACCGGATGGAGTGCAGCCAGTTATAAATTTTAATATATAATTTAATAAATAATGTACACATTTCATTGGTTGATATTATTTCAAAGACTGCAAATTGAATGACAATAATCTGCTATACATGAATAAATGGCATGTTTGATCCCGCAATACAGATACGTATTCATCCTGGTGAGGATTAATCTTTCGGGAGTTAATTTTCTTGAAAGTAAATGAAAAAGAATGTATTAATCATGTTAATCTTGATCAATTCTCACAAAGCCACAAGTTATTTATGATATTTGGAGTGTCGCAATATACGGCATGAGTACACAGTTCTTTTTTCTATAAACTAATTTGTTCAACGCAGGTAACGCTTGAACGTAAACTATTGAAATCCCCGATAACAAGTCTGATGTTGATTAACAATTCTGATGTTGAGAAACAAGTCTGATGATATCATGTGATATTCCCTCAGGTCGGGCCCGTCAAGCAGAACTACGCCAAAGTGAGTACAGGGGCGGCTGTGATTAATAATTGGACTCAAGAATGAGCTGTTACGATTGCAAGTGGAATTCAAATGGAATAAACTAATTTTTAATAGGCGTATCATATTTTAATATTGTCTTCTGGAAAAATTAACTTTTTAGTACAAAAAATACGCTTCATTCCCCAAAATTCCGAATGTACAAACTCGATGAAATAATAATTTTTCATTTCAGATTCGTGTATCCCGTTACCCGAATACTTTCACCAGCGACTGTATCAAGATGGACGTCAATGTGGAGTTTTCCAAGTACACCACGCGAAGGACGAACAAAACCTACACGCGGCAACTTGTCTCCGTCGACTACATGACTTGCTTCCTGAAGGTGCGCGGGACCAACCTGGGCCAGCTCAAGTTTGCTGACTGCGCTGACGCTTCGGCAGCCCAAGGTAAAATGTGCACGAAGTGATTTACGACAAAAACTAAATCAGTTTGCAATGATGATTATGATTATTCAGGAGTTAGGCCGGAGGAGTGATGAGCCCGCAATTTCCGACAATAAATTTGGATCCAAATGATGATTAGTTAGTACTAGAGCTGCAATTGTGTGACTTGAAAAGTGGTACTTATACTTTAATTAGACTGGTGTGCTGGAAGTTTTTACCTTTATCACATTTAATATATTTCTCTATGTTCCTATTTACCTGACAGGGTTCGCATCGTTCAGCCTGCAGAGGGACTCGTGTTTCGCCATGAACGGCACTCCGGCTGCCATGTTCGTTGGTTGCAGCGGCAATCTGGAAACAGTTTACGTCAACACAGGCGAAAAATTTCTACCAGGTAATGAATACATTTGGTATGGATTTTAATTAAACACATAATGAATAAATGTGAATAATTATTAATATGTTTTTCAGTAATTATCATGTATTTCAAACGGAGTCACTTATTGTACGTAAAATGACTGAATAATTGCGAGTAAATAACATAATGAAAATGATTCATATGGATGCACTCGTAATCTACATTCGCAACCTGACCTTCGTATAAATGCCATAATTTCAATTAATTCGGAATTTTAGCAACAATTTCTGATTCGATCCTAACTATCAACCATAACGCAATTGGTTTCAACATATCAAGTTTCTTGATTATAATTATAAGTGATTAATTTTCTTGATTAAAAAACATTGTCCATGATTTTGAATTGGATTAAAAGTAGTAGAGCTGCCGTTCAGTGCACGTATAATGTTACGACAAGAAAGTGAGAAAAACCTTCGTAATCTTTGCAATTAAAATCTATTTTTATTTCTGTTAACAGAATTCCATTTTGAGAACTTTACTGAGGACAGCGACGTGGCGGGGTTGACGGTGAAGTATGAGGATGTGGGCGAGTGTGCAGACTTGACGACATACGAGCTGACTTTCCTGGACCAAACGGTAGCAGTGACACGAGCAACTGCCAACAGGATAGCTTACGCCTTCACACAGTGCGTAGACGTGACATTCACTCTGGTTCGCTACCTGGGCGGCTTGGAAATTGAAAATAGATCTGTTACGCAAGACTTCGCTCCGAAAGGTACTTATTTCGATCAGTTTGTGTCAATCTAACACTTTGGTTAAAAGCACAATAGAAGAGAAAGAAATTACAAGGTTAGGAAGCAATCGTGTGTATTTACGCTTCGCCGCTACGTTAACGGGAGGCTCATTGGGGATCCCTTTGAATTCACTGACTTCGCTCCGAGAAGTAATTAATAGAGATTATGTAAAACTAAATGCTTGCGGAATAACAATGCATTACAAAGCATTGTCAGCCTCTGGTATTAGTTTATACCTAATTTATTGTATCGTTATAACGAAAATATTTCAAAGCTCAAAATTTTTCGATCGTATGTTGGATGTTTTTCATAATATATTTTTCCGTTAGCTCTTTTCACACAGTTTTTCATAATATATTTTTCCTCTAGCTCTTTTCACACAGCATTCATCCAAGCTTCAAGCCTTATCAAGGAATTGTTTTTCAAATACTAGCTCATTTTTTGGATTCATGTTTTTTGCATGTTTAATTGCAAAATCTAATGAATTTGCCCTCTTTTCTAGTGAATTTTTGTAATACAGTCGTGGCCAAAACTTCTGTCACAAGTGGCATTTTTTGGATTTTCAATTAAGAGATTTAACATAAAATCAGGAAATGTCGAAGATTTATTTTTCAACTTGAATACAAAAATAACTTTAACAAGGACGAAATCCCACACGGTAAATTCTAAATCTAGCAAATTTCCCCAAGGTATCAATATTTTCAGTGCTGACCCTTATTACGAAGAACCTCTTCAATTTTCTTAGGCATAATAGAAACCAAATTCTACCTCTTAATTGTGCTTTCCTTCTGTTCGAGAATGACTCATAAATTTGTGAAAGGGGTCAAATCTGGAGAATTTCCGGGTCATGGTGTCACTTCCTCAATGCGTCATGGTGTCAAGATCTTCAAGACGCTTTTTTATATTTGATAGCACCAGCTCTATGACAAGAAGGTCCATCGTTCTGGAAAATTAAATTTTGGTCACGAAACAGACTGTCAATTGAAGGAATTAACTCTTGGGTCAGTATTTTTCGTACCAAACTACATTCATTGCCGTGTTTGTGGGAAGGATATCAAATGCTCCTGCCCCCTGAAGTGAGAAGCAGCCCCAAACACATACACTTGACTGTTCCTGGATGCTTCACAGTGGGCGTAAGATATTCTAGCTTGAAGCGCTCACCTGGTCCTCCTCCTGACAGGACTTTACCAGAAGGGCTAAACAAAAAAAAACATAAATGAGAGGCTTGCTTTTCAGCAGAAAGTACAGGAAATGGCCTGCTGAACAGTGGGTCAGAGTGAGATTCTCAGATGGAGCCCCATTCAGGTTGTTTGGCCCTTCTGACCAAGTCCTAGTCAGGAGGAGGACATTGTAGCACTTCATGCCGGAATTATTGCGCCCACGGTGAAGCATCCAGGAACTGTCATGCAATATCCATGTTTGGGGCTGCTTCTCAGTTCAGGGAACAGAAGCACTTCATCTCCTTCCCACAAGCAAGGCAATGAATGAAATTTGATACGAACAATTCTAATCGATGAGTTTTTTCCCTTAATTGACAGTCAGTTGCCTGACCAAAATTGCTTTTCCACAACGATGGAGCTTCTTGTCATAGAGTCAGTGCTATCATAATGCTTCTTAAAGAATTGACACCATGACCCGGAAGTTGTCCAGATTTGCAACGCAATTCACCCCCTATCAAAAATTTCTGAGCCATTCTCGAACAGATGGCAAGCACAAGAGGCAAACACAAGCCAACATCTACCAAGGACATGCAGGACTTGGTTTTGCATGAATGAAACTCTATTGATAAAATAATCATTCAGAATTTGGTTTCTATCATGCCTAAGAGAATAGAAGTGGTTCTTCGTAAAAAGGGTCAGCACTGCAAATATTGATACCTTGGGAAAATTTGCCATAATTAGAATTTATCGTTTGGGATTTCGTTCTTGTTAATATTTGCTTTTTGTTCAAGTTAATAATGAATATTTGTCGTTTTCTGATTGCATTTAGATCTCATAATTGAATAATTCAAAAAATATAACTCACGACAGAGGTTTTGACCACGACTGTAGAGGAATAATGAGCGTTGCATGGAAAACAACGCTTCTGCCTCGCAAGCATTCAATGTCTGTTCTACAACCAAGGATCAACGCCGTCTCTGATATGTGTTCAGTTTTAGAGATTTGGAACCTTGCCAACTGTATTCGATTAATCTATTAGAGAGGGAACTAAATTGTTTATGCGGAAACTCCATATTAATTTAGAACGAACTATAGCAACATTTCATTTCAGGTTTCCAGTTCGAAGATTTCGCAATCACATCAAGTGATACGACTGGAATATATTACTACTTCGAAGAAACTGGGTTATGCAAGAGTCATGCATCTTATAAACTCACCATTAACGATGAAATTATTGACGCGGTTGCTGACGTCCAAACTTTCAAGGCTATGACCATCACCACGTGCATGGACGTGGACTACGAACTCGTTCGATACGTCGAAGGGGCACCGTATGGAGACGAAGTCCAACTCTCAAGTTTCGTCCCCCAAAGTACGACACGTTGCCTGTGAATCGATGCCCATGATCTCTGTATTCTTACTAAGCTTATTTAATCATTGTGCAGAATTTGCGTTTTGGAATCAAGTATTGAAAACGATGTGCATCTGTGAGCATTTATCTGCCTAAAGGTGATGGCTTGAAGAGCCAAGAGCTTAAATCCTATATATTTTAATTCAATACGCGGCATTTAATTTTTTATAGAGTCACCTCTTAACTCTCTGCTTGTACTATGAATAAAAGTTCATATCATTCTATATATAAGATCTTTGGCAAACTTTTTCAATTGATTGAACGTCAATATCACTTAAATCCTTCCATTTGTTTGAGTGATTCCATAATCGCAATCATCAAGCGTTCTTGAAACAGCTATATAAATTTGCAAGTAGCGGCCTCATTACAAGTTGCTCGTACAAAAACTACTCGCGAAAATACCAAGAATATTTTTATCCCAGATTTCGACTTCATGAACTTCATGACGTCGTCGGACAATACTGGCTACACCTACTCATTTGACGAGTCCTGCTTGTGCAAAGATCGCGCCACTTACACCCTCACAATCAACGACGAAACGATTGATGTAAACTACGGCGAAACAGGGCACATCGCCAAGACGTTCACAGCGTGCATTCCTGTCGTGACGTTCACACTGCGCCGTTACGTGGAGGGCGTTGAGTTCGGAGAAACGGAAATCATAACTGACTTTGCCCCTCAAAGTGAGAGTGATCAGAATTTACAGCAAGCAGATGTACAATCTGTTATAGAACAAGTTACAACATTATGATCTAAAATTGAAATATGGAAGATTTCTGTATTTGCTTCGAAAAACTCGCTGATGAAAAATTAATGTAATTCAAAAAATTATGACGCTACACTTAATATTTTTTGTAATGGTTTGATGTAATGTGTTTGTTGGCAGATTTCAATTTCCGCGATTTCGAAGAATCATCGGGCAACACGGGCTATAATTACTACTTCGATGACGATGGCCTGTGCACTAGCTTGACCAATTACGAACTTTCCATCAACACCGACACCTTTGATGTGACGCGCGCCCAAAACGGCTTCAGGTCGCACACCTTCACGCAGTGCGAAGAAAACGTCCAATTTACGCTTCGCCGCTACGTTAACGGGAGGCTCATTGGGGATCCCTTTGAATTCACTGACTTCGCTCCGAGAAGTAAACTTATTATGTTTGTTATGTGTAGGTGTAGCGTGGCATGATATGTTAGCATCGTAGCCTAAACATAAGGTTCCCGTATCATTTTTCCCGTGTACCCTTAACACAAATGTTTTGAGACTATACCGCTCGCTCCCTCGTAGGTATAATCAAGAGTTTCTACACCAACGGGCACCATACTGCTCGCTATGTGGAGACATTATTCTATATGTACAAATGATCATGAAATATACTTCGTTATTACATTTACAAATTTATTAAGATTTATTAAGAGGACGTCACGTAAAAATGTCAGCAATGTGCGGCTAATATTTATTATGAACATCTCCTAAAAATATATTTAAACGAAGGTAGATATTTGTGATGTTTACTTTTCGTATCGTTAGAAGAAAAATAACTCCTCTCGGCTACATAACAATACGTTTTCAGGCTAATCGAATAATTTTTCCTGCGATCGATGAAACGAACCTAAACTGGAGTTTAAAGGGGCCGGAGTCCCCTTAAACTCCTAAACTTCTGCTGTATTCAGACAAAATAATTATTCCTGTAGTCCAATTAGTAACACATTTCCTCATCCCCAGCATGAGCAGAGAGCTGAAGTAGCACTGATATGATCTTTTGCCCGGCCAAACACACGGGAAAAAGAGCATCGCTATTTAGACAAAGTTTCGCTCACATTTCTTAGTATGTGATTGATGTTGCCACGGCTCTTGACAGCCCTTGCAATGATTCAACCGAATGTGACCTCATCGTGCGGATTAATTACGCTAAACCTTTCTCCAGGTTTTTCCTTCGGGGGCAGCCTACAACTCAGCCCTGACGGGACTACCGGATTAACTTACCAGTTCACAGAAAATGGCCTATGCACGTCCCACGCCACGTACAGAATCACTATCGATGGAACAACGGTTGATGCTACAGCTGGTTCTCCTATACCTTATTCCATCAGCAACATGAATTGCCGATATTTCGACGCAGAGGTCATTCGTTATGTTGATGGAGTCGAAGATGACAATCATGTGTCCAGCTCAATTTTCCTTCCTCGAGGTAAAATTGTATGGTTAACAGTGAATGAGATTGTCATGGACCGGAAGCATTTGTCTTATGAGGCTTGTATTGTGAAATAAAACAATGGGCACGACAGCTGCAATCTATACAATGGTTAAAGGCCGATCTACCAATCTTGAATATATTTCGTTTGCGACGAGATACTGTTCATGGGAGCAGGGCCCATTTGTGTTGCCTGATTACGGCTGAATTACGGTCACGGGAATAAGACCGATTTGTGTTGCCTTGTGCCGGAGTGAAGAGTTTGTCGATAGACGCTTAAATTCCTTAACAATTTGTCAAAAAATGTATCAATTGACGTCAGATTGATCCAATTACATGCTTTTCTACCAAGAGGCTAGGAAACAAGCCTATTTGATTAATTAAATCATTCATGAATAAATTAAATCATTTGTTCATTTATTTCCTATTATTATTCTAGAATATTTACACCGTATTGTTTTCTTCCTACGTTCTTCCATGCAAATTTTCGTAATATAAAATTCTCCCTAACTCGTTTAGAAATTCATATACTAATATTATCTGTATAAATAAAGTTATTAGAAAAAATCTAGTACTGTGTTTATGTACGTATATCCGTAGCAGTTAAACCCAATGATTATATTTTATAAAAATAATCTTATACACCCGATTGCGTAAGTTTTGTTCTCTACATTCATTGCAATTCATCCGTTTATTTGAACTTGGTTCTTATCTGGAATTTTGAGTGATATCGCTCCGGTCTAGCAGAAGGAAGTATCTAATTTTTCTGAAAATTTTCCATCAGATGAGCAATTCCTGAACGCGGCAGTCACTCTTACTGAAAACGCAGTGAATGTCTTGTTCGATGAGCAAGGTATTTGTAGTGCAAGCTTCATATACGACCTAAAACTTGTACTGAACGATAACACACAATTTTTCACCGTAACTCCGGGGAACACATTTACAAGATCTGCAACATTGTGCGATACTGTGGAAGTACATATTGTTCGCAAGCTGGACTCGCAAGACTTTGGGGATAAATACGACTACACTGGAGGAAGAATTCCAGGAGGTTCGTGGTGACGCTCAGATACAGATGAACGAAAGAAGGAATGATGATTATTACCCTAAACTTGAGCTTAAGAAGGCATGCTGTTGAGGGTTCAGTGAAATATTTCTATTGGTTGTTTCAATTCATTACCATCATTAATTCATGATGGGTAAGAACAATATAGAGATGCTCAATAAGGAATTAACATTAACTGCTCTCATAAGTAAATTCTATTTAACTAATGTGGAAAGAATCTCAAGTTAGATCCATACTTGCCTTCTTTGCTCATGGTTATTTTTTTCTACTATACATTGGTTATACCTCCATCTAAATTGGTTATTTTTAAATGGTTAAATTAATATATGCTATATTCATGTTGTGGCAAGATGTGTTAAATATCTAAGTATAACGCAGGTTGGTGAATCAGTTAGTTGCTGGTTTGGGTTCTTTCTATAAATATTGGGCTATTATTTAATAGACAACCTCAGTACAATATAAATACAGTACCCATCAATATTTCGCCTACTATAAAGTACGTACGTTTATCTTCATCCCTGGAAACAATATTCTAAGAATTTTTATATTTTTTCTTTCAAAGCCCGTGTGCAGCGGTCATTCAAAGTTTACATTGTGTCTTATCAAAACTTTTTCAGAGAAGTCGTGTTCCTAGAACTTGTCTTAAACCTTTAGTAAATGATCTCTCATGTTCATAAATCATAGTTAAATTACTAAATATTCTATCTATAATATATATTACTCATGTACACCGTGAGTCGAGATGTATTAAGGTTGAGAATATATAAAGACCACAGTTTTCATTTCTTGGATGCGACATGCATACTTCAATTCAGTGTCTTAAACCAATTGAATAATTAATAGAATATGCTGCATGTACTATTACAATCTACCCTTCGTAAATAAATAGTGACATCGTGGTCTTCCTGAGGAATTTTACTATGAGTCAGATTCACAAAAAAAAAGCTACTAAAAATGAAAAGTGCGACAACCGATACGAGGTCAGCAGGGAGCGTGATAAGATGTGCCTCTCGTTGAAATGTGTTCTATATTTCAGAGCACGACTTCGATTTCTCGAGCTTCAGAGTGGATCAGCGGGAAATATCACAATGGACGTTCGCATGGAACTCATACTCCAAATGCCCCGTTTACGATCTACATCTGGAAACTAATGAAGGTGATTCTGAAAGCTGCACAAACAGTGCGGAAAGCTGCACGATGAACTGCTTGAAGCTGTACAAGGCACAAACAGTCAGCATCCACTTCACTTCTGTGGACGAAGTGACCATCAGTGGAGCCGCATCAATACCCATAAAACGTGAGTATACTCCTTGCTGTCAGTTTTCAATGCAGTTGAACTTATCTATTTCGTTAAAACGTTTCTAAACAGAATAAAAGTTGTGCATCAAAGTTATTTTATTCAATATTCAACCGTATAGACGTTACAAATAATTTAGAGATGCAATCGAAAAAATATGGCAAAATGTACATCCCCCAATATTACAATTATATGATGGAGAAGTTCATGGAAGATGTGATTCTACTTTGAGGCATGTAGAGCAAAACGCTTATTTGTCTACTGCTTTGCAAACAGCTTTCAATGATTGAGACTAACGGCAACCAATTTCTCAATTAATTGTTTGGATAAGTTTGAATGCAATGCATTTTCCGAGACTTTAAAATAACACCGCGTACTGGAGGTATTAGATAAACGTTTTGGATATTAGTTTTAACCTATAACTGTACCCATTGCTTATGTAGATAAATTTCGAACACTTTAATTTCTACTTTATGATGATATCGTGAAAGTTGGAGTTTAATTATGACATTTGGCCGGATGATGGAATCATGACAATTCAACGTTTAAGGAACCATGACAGTTGAACGGTTTATGGAATCATGGTAGTTCAACGGATGATGAAATCATGATAGTTCAACGAATGAAGGAATCATGATAGTTCAACGGATGATGGAATCATGATAGTTCAACGTATGAAGGAATCATGATAGTTCAACGGATGATGGAATCATGATATATCCAAATTCTTGATGAAAATACAGCGCTTCTGGTAAATTGTGTCACCCAAATTAATTTCATGTATTGAGTCACCGCAAAAACAACCCTGTACGAGCGGAATGTGGAGCGTACATTTTTTTCCTTAAAAACAAAACTGATTAAAAACCTTTCACATTTTTTGAACTATAACTAAATTTAGGTTTTCAAAGATAAGCAAGTAGTTTCGAGTTTTTATGAAAGTTTTAGATTATATTAAAGCAACAGCATAGGAAGAGATATTCGTCCCAAGCAAGTCATTTAAAGTAGCCTCCAGTCCTGAGCTCACTCCAAGTTCCCACTATTGATCGTATTGCCTGCAGTTCACGAGGCCGTTGGTGAATCAGTAAGTAAACGCTCGTGGATCTTCTATCAATGGCAATGCGTGAATATTGTGGCGAGGGCAGTTCTTAGTCACGAGTAATCTCTATGGCTAAAAGAATCCGTTTTTAGCTTAAAATCGAATTAGGATGAAAAAGGTGAACAGCTCTCGTTTGTGGATGAAATTAATTTTGACTTCACGATGGTACGATGAAAAAATTGTCCTTTGTCCGTAATATGTGATCACTTAATGAAAGCTGAGAATAAATACAGTTGATTCCGAAAATTTTGCACTTATTTTCCTCTTTTATATAAATACATTGTGAGCAGGGTGTTAATGACAAGATACATTTAAAATTATTTCGAAGCTTTTTATTCGCGTGGTCTGAAAAAGATGTTTAAAGCGTTGATGGGAAACAGAGAAATAACATTCAAAGTAGAACCAGTGCGTACAAACTAATACAACTTTTAGTATGATACTAAATGATACATTATTGTGATGAAACGATTGTACAGGGTTTTAAAATAATTATCAACCATGATCGGTGCGTATTTCTGAAACAACTTGCCAATTGAACAACAGGCGCCGTTTATCATTATGCGTCTAATAAGACCATTACACCATCAAATCGGATCATCAAACTATGACCATTGTTGACTCATAACCATCAAAGTAAGACCAATGAATCTTCAAAATAATGCCATTAGAAAATCAAAATAAAACCATTGGATCTTCAAAATAATACCATATTGGACCATCAAAGTAAGACTATCGGACCATCAAAATAAGACCGGTATGAAACTGATCCATGTATTATGAATTAACTTTCTTGCAACCTATAAAAAGCATAAGACAAACACTTTAACCTTTTTGAAAGCAGAATTTGGAATCTCTATAACCACTCAAGCCATCATGGACGCGAAAAGCAAAGAGAAATGAAGTGGTTCCGAAAGAAAATAAAGGAGGTTTCGTCGAGCTACTGACAAATCGTACGTTGTTCGTTGCCCCTAGGTGTGACTGCATTTGACATAATAAAAGCACAGGAAACGGAAAGAATATTGTCCAATTTCATGCTTATCTTTACATTTTCTTCACTTACTATACTGATAATTGTAGTTACCAAGCAGTTTCGACAATATGCGGTCAGGCGCACAGCCGAAGTTTAATAGTGTCTGAAGACATAGCCATTATTTAATACTAATTTGAGTCTCACCCATTAATAAAATATGCGCTTCGTCGTAGAGCCATAAATCTTGCTAATAATATTTTTTTATAAATTAACTGATGAATTTCTGATGTTTCCGAGAATTTGTTACTGAGCCCCTAGGAACACCCGTATTTTCGTCACTGTTTTATTCAGAAGAGGAATAGGTCAACTTGATGAATCATCGGCCAATTGGGTGGAGATTCTTTAAACGTCATCGGTGAAAGTGAATGAGAAAAACTGGTATAGTGATTTTCCACACTACGCAATTTTAGTAGAAACTAGATGAGAGTTGAAAATTTTCAACCAAGAACCTAACAATCGCATTCTCTCTAAACCAGCCTCTAGCATCTAACAAGCGGGCAGACCAAAGAAATACAAAGCACAGCTGTTACTCGATGGCGTACGTAACAATCGAGAAGCAGTTTTATTTTGCAAATGAAAAAATGGGATTCAATTGAACTAATCGCTAGTTTGTCATCATTTCTTCTTCACTAGCCAGATCTTTTGATAATGGTCAATTGCAAATGTTTATGAATTATTTTGATAGCGGTTTCAGCGTTTATTAGGCCGTAGGCCTGTCGCCGATTCTGAACATCACAGGACATTCACTGCATTTTGCGGTCGCGAACTCGCAACTCACTGCTTCAATTTTGCTTTGCTTAACCGCCCGGCCTCCTCGCCGATTCTGACCAGAAACTGGCGCACAGAGCTGGGATCGAACCCGCACCTCTCTGCGCCAATACTGATACTCTGAACTTTAACCACTGGGCCACCCTGCCCAGTGGTTAAAGTTCAGTGTGGCCACTGGGCCACCCTGCCCCTATCAAACAAGGAGCTAAACCTTGTGTCTTCGGCGAATAGAAATGTGTAATCAATCTTCCATGTAAGTTGGTATAACCATGGTTGAACTAGTAGAAGGTTGACCCACGAGAAGCATAGCTTTGCGGATTCAGTTTATTGTTCTTGGTTGTGCTAGGATTGGAGGTGAGTGTGCTAGGATAGGAGTTCGCGAAAACTTTACAAATAATTAAGGTACAGGGCAGAAACTGTAGGTCGTTTAGGGTAAAATTGGCGTTGCGGGTTGCGACTTGCTGGTATAAAGCAGGAAGGTGGACTGCGGGAGTCAGTTGAGGCCAGCGTTGCCAGATGGTATATTGCTATACCAGATTTCACAAATCTGGTATTTTCAGAGGGTGTCTGGTATGAATATTTTGGTTCAGGTATTAATTTGCCTAAATCTGGTATTTTTCTAATCTTTTCTGACTAACTGCAAATTTACTGCATTAAGTTCCACCTCTGACGTTTAAACTTCCTCCAGGGTGCGTGGATTATATAGATTACCTTCAGAGCGGTGCGACTATATAGGTTTCACGCCATTTTTGGAACCGCAAGTTTACCGCTTGATCAAATAACCCCAATCTAATTGTTATCATTTAACAAAAGTGCTTAGTGCAATATAAGCACGAGAGTGATGATCCTTTATTGATTACTGATTAGTGATGTTATGGCCTAGGACGAGTGAGGTTGTCGAACCGATCTCTGCGACACAAGCTTAAGGGGACCGCCCTAGCTAAAATTTGAAAATTTTGAGTTTTTCTGTTTCTTATCTCATCTTAAAGGTTGTTTTCTTGCGCATCGAACGGTATAAGTATCGTCCCTGTACGTCGAAAAATGACTTTTATGAATTTCACGTTTTCTATCAATTTTTTCGAAAAAATCATAGGAGCAAAATGTTTTTTTTTTTACATTTTACGTATGTATGTGAAGTTTCATGACAATCGGATAATAACTGTAGAAGTTTTCGTATGCTAGGGCGGTCCCCTTGACCATTTTTGTTTGGTAGTTTTGAATTCTAGAGTGCCACTTATTGGAGAGCCACTAGAATTCTGGGGTGCCATTCAATATATTGCTGATCTTGAAAATCATCATTCATTCATAGAATTGGCTGCCTTATACTACATCACTTGTCTACTTTGACCTGTCTCCAATGCATTCCTGGAGCGAGTGTTTTTACAAGTCACCTATGTGGAAAACAAGCAACGAAATAAAATTTCAACTACGGTACTGGAGTCCCTTATACGGATCAAAAGCTATCTGCTCAACCGCAACAAGTGTTAACACCCGAAATATTAGATAAATGCAATATGCAAGCATGTACACAAACAAGCAAAAGGAAGATGACCTGTTTCCGTGGCTTGCTCATGTTGAGCGAAGGGGAAGAAGTGTCACACTGTGATAAAAAGGAAAAAGTTTCATTTTAATCAAACACAGGAAAAGAATAGTGTCAAAATGTTCCAAACAGAGGCAATTATCATAACATATATAACGGTTTCAGCGTTTATTAGGCCGCGGGCCTGTTGCCGATTCTTAACATAGCAGAATATTCACAGCTTGTTGCGGTCTCAAACTCACAACTCACTGCTACAATTCTGCTTTGCTTAACCGCCCGGCCTCCTCGCCGATTCTGACCAGAAACTGGCGCACAGCTAGAGCTGGGATCGAACCCGCGCCTCTCTGCGTCAATCTTGATACTCTGGGCCCATACTTTCAAAAAAAGTTAAGAGATCGTAAGTTCATCAGCCAATCATTGACGGCCTTTCAAGCAAAATCCACCAATCATAGACAAGAAAATAGAGCGTAAGTACTTCCGTTCACTTAGCCAGTTTTGAAAGTATGGCCTCATTAAAATAAAAAAAAATATTTTAATAGAACATGTGCTGCAAGCGGTTGGCTTCT